AATTTTCAGAACACTTCCCCTCTCCATACAACCTGACAATGTAGAGGCAAAACCTGAAATTTTCAGTTGGTTTACCACCTCTAGAATATTCTAATCTTTCTTCAGTTCACATCAGGAGAGAAGTACCTCTTGTTAATGTTATGGAGAATTCTCCACAAGAAAACAGTTATCTCATGGCTTTTCATTTCCACAAATAGCAGCTGCCTGGAGAAATCTGCAATCGTGAATTTGGGAGGTCAAATTCTAATTTGGGCCATGGTCCCTAGACATGAAGGCCAGTTCTATTCCATAGGAAGGAAAGAAGAGAGCCCCAGTGAGTGTTTCACGGGCAGATCAGGGGTGACCACCAGATGCCAGATAGAGTGGCAGGTTTTTTCTGGGAGATACCCTTAGATATAGGAAAATTCTTAGGGAGAATACCAGTTTTGGCAATGGGCATCTGAATAAATAGAGCGTTCTTCTCCATACAAAGGAGAACACAGAACCCCATTGCTCCAGGGGCTGATGAGAAGCAGCCCTTGACTTTCCAACATCAGCAGACCTGTCAGGTGGCCCCTGGCAGGCTAAGCCAGCCACACCTGGTCCATGTTCCCTCGCTTCCATGGGGCCCCACTGTGTCCCAATGGTCCCTTGCTTCCAGGAGGCTCTGAGGTGTCACAATGCCCCCTTGGTGACACCAGGCCCTGAAGGGTCGGAATAGTCTCCATGGTTCCATCAGGCCCCACAGAGTCGTAATGGTCTCTGGGTCCATGAAGCCCCAGTGTCACCGTGGCCCTTTGGTTCCATGGGCTCCAGTGGTGCCACAATGATCCCCTTGGTTCCATGAGGTGCCCACAGTGTCACAGTGATCTCTATGGGAAGGAAAGAACCGAGCCCCAGTGTGGCAGGGGCAGCCACCAGAGGCCGAGGGGAGCCAAACTTGATGGTACTGGCAGATTTTGGCTGGGAGCAGCCCTTGAATATAGGGAATTTTAGAGGTGGAATACCAATTTCAGACATGGACAGTTGAAGGAGGATGGTTCTTTCCATAGGAAGGAAAGCACAGAACACTGGTGTTTGAGGGGCAGATGAAAGGCAGCCACCAGAGCCCTAAGGCAGCCAGACCTCTCTTTCCTGGTAGTTTTTGTCTGAAAGCAACCCTTGGATATAGGGAATTTGGGAGTTGGAAGCCCAGTTCCCACAACTTCTGCATAGATAAGGATGGTTCTTTTTTCCATAGGGAGGAAAGCACTGTTGCGTTAGACCGCAGCAAAGGGCGCTGCCCCAGGCCCCAGAGTCTCAGACCTCAGGCAGACACCAATGACCAACAGGGAAAGGAAGGCAACAGGACAGGTCTTGGTTTAGAAAACCGAGGATTCTTCATTTTCCCAAGGACCAACACAAGAAACGAGGTGGTAGGGTCAAGACTTTTATATTACAGGGTAGGGGTGGAGTTTAGGATCAAGGTCCAATATTAAGAGGAGCAGGAGACTGCAAAGGGCTGGATCAAGGAGGACAATAAATGGAAAAAATTACAGTGGGGATATTGCTGCACAATTTAAGCCAATAAGGGTACAGAAAAAGAAGAACATTCTGGGGCCATTCCTCATTAGATCAGATAGGGTGGAGTGTCCTTTCCCAGGCTTTCAGGGGCACACCCCACAGCATGGAGGGGTGGAATCTTCTTTAAGTCACACTCTCACCGGATGCTGTCTCTGGGTAGAATCCCCACCTCATTGGGCAGGGGCACTCTACACCTTTGGTGCCATTATTTCTTTCTCTGGCTGTTTTATACAATGAAATAAAACTCCAGCATCTGTGGAACCACCCTTCAATCCCTCCCAGGCTACTCTTGTTCTCTCCTCAGTCTGCACACAACTGAGCCCAGAGCCTGCAGCCTCTACCTGCTGGTTATGTGATGAAGCCTTCAAACCCCATGTTGGGAGATATTTGGGTCCTCCCCAAGATCTGTGAAAATGGAAAAATAGTTATCAAAGTTATTTTCTCCCAAGTCTAGCAGTGACAGAACAATGGTCAATATCTTTAAACTGAATGAGAGTGGATTTAAATTTGTCAGAAGGAGGAAATATTTTACAGTGATGAGAGTGGAACAAAACGTCAACTGTTTTTCCAGAGAAGTGGATTTCCCATCCCAGGAATGCTCAAAAATCAGGGAGTGTGTGCAACTTGACCCAGTGAAATCCCCTCCCCAAGGATAGAATTCCTGTTGTGTGGGTTCTCGGATGTGCTGGGTACCCTCACAACTCTTCTGACCAGAATGTCTGCTGAGGACAGCCAGGCTGCTGCAGGGGCAGTGACCTTACAGCCATCACCATGGCAGCCCTGTCCCCTGGGCCTGGCTCTCCCCTTTCCTCTGCCCCTGCCTTGTCTCTGCTGGCATGAAGAGTTTTGTTGATAATATCTTGTCCCCAAGGTGCTGGGCCAATGGCTTCCCAGACAGGCTCCAGGAGCAGAAGTGGCTTTTCAGAGCCCAGCCAGAAATGAGCCCTGAGGCAGCAGCTCTGCAGCGCTGGCCACCAGGCTGGGTTGCAAGGGAGGCTTCTGGCCATGCCCTGCAAGCAGCTGCTGCTGCCAAGGTGCCTTTGGTGCCTCGGGCTGTCCCTGGCACAGCTCCCAGCACGGCACTCTGCCCTTGTGCCCGAGGCCTTCCCTGTGCTGGGGCTGGCAAGGGGCTGTTCCTGCAGCGGGACCTGCC